CAAATGTCCTTGATCATCAAATAATCGATTTAGGTGAAAATCTTGCTAATGTTTCTTTATTATAATAAGCTGCCTTAGGTGTCACCCAGCAGTAGGGGTCTTAGAATGTATGTTGTTGTTTACTTAGTAAAAGAGCTGCACTTTAACTATCGAGGGGAATCAAACCCCGGGTTTGTGAGACCGCAAACTCACCGCTGACCCGTTGAGAACCCTTTGGAATGGAAACCATAATAGACGATCTAATGTGGTGAGAGGAACTGAAGCCTATTTGTATCAAGTATAATAAATGTATCAAGATCACTGAATAGATCATAGATCATTCTTATTTAGATTTTTTATTAACTACTTCAGTGAACATTTAAGAAATGTATCTGGCAACATAGTCAGGTTTGCTTATTATGTAAAAACACTATAAATGTCAATATGATACTCCGTGACTTGTGAATATTACTTAATTTTTTTTTGTATTTTTTTTTTTTGTAGCTTTGATCTGATGGATTTGGCGACATTAAGAGTAAATCTGGACATGCGTATTCAAAGACTGGTCTGATAGATGATTCTGGAGACGTACGTAAGCAATTGATAACAAACTTCTGACGTAGTTGATCCTCATTGGCTTAGCGGCAATTATGCATGCTTACGGTGCAAATATTCGGGTTTAGGTACCCGTAGTGGACGGAACAAAAATAGGCCAATGTGTAGCTTTGTGCTTAAAAACTGCGAAACCAAAACTAGTCTTGAATATTTGAATCATTTTCAAATTGTGTTTTTCATGTTATTACTATGAATTGATCAGGTAAGACTCTTATGATATGCGAGTCCGTAGTATTTTTCTCACGTGGCTATTTAGTTTCAGGTTTATTTACAATTTTGGTCGGTGTTTGCTGACTTCTTTTTTTTTTTTTGCAGGTGGTTTTGGTAAAACAGACTACCTGGAATTTTGATTCAATAATTCTGGTGCGTCGTTTGTTGTACATTCTTCAGTCGAGTTTACATAGTTGTTTTAGAGCAAGCCCGCGATATGTTCACCCCAGGGAATCGAACCCAGAGTTTAGAGTTGTAAGTCCGTAAACTTACCGTTGCCTCACAAAGGGGCAAAAGAAGTTGTAAGTTAATAGCTAGAACACTGTTATCTGGGAAACTCTTCTAGCTAGTAGCATCATCTGTAAACTGAGATGAAACACAGTACTTTCTGTCCAAAAGTGGCATGCTGCTTACATACATGATAAATAATATAGGGCTAATTACCATTACCTCTGTGGCACTTGGCTCAGGAGTAAGATACTCCGAGTAAGTGTCTTCCACGTTAATTCTAGCCTTCCTAGCGTCCAAAAAGTTGGTCAGTCAGCGGATAATACCCCTCTTTAGTTCCATTTATGACATTTGAAACTTGGCGCTATTATGTCATACATTATCGAAGGATTTTCCTCCATTGAGAAAGCATGCACTGTGCAATGGCTTTTAATGACATTTCTATAATTGTTTCAGTGAACCTAATTCAATTATCAATAGTTTATCTAAGTTTCATAGATGCGTTTTGAATTTTGGGTAATTTATTATCCAATTACAAATATGTGATCAGTCTATTTGTTATGTTTTCAAGACTTTTCGGTTGAATGTCGTTTTTCTAAGTACGAAACGTGTTCCGTGGCAGCATGTCTCGAACACCGAACCCTTTAATGAAAGACCCGACAAAAAAAACTGCTAGTTCACGGCAAGACATTTAAAAAGAGAACAGATAACACAATATAAAAACAATTACCCAAAAGATTTACTAAGTATAAAAAATTGTAATAACACTTGACAAATTGTACTTTTTCTTGAAGTTGTCGTTTTCAATGTGAATTTCAGAGCGCATTTTAACATGAAATATATCCAATAATATTGGTGATTTGTATACATTTATGAGTGACTTGGTGTGTCTGTGGTTCAACGGTAAATTTGAGAGCTTATGACAATATATATCTGGTTTCAATACCCTCGGTGGGCAGAGCACAAACAGCCCACTGTGTAGCCATATCTTTTACAACAAAACAAACAAACAATGAAATATTTAAAACGTGTTGACTTAAATTTACTCACATTCTTATATTAATCCGAGAAATAAAATAAATTAAATTTGATGACATGTTTAGTTTGAAAAACAAGATTATTTATCATTATTTATTGGAAAATTTGATCTTTTAAAGTGCATGTTTATGATAAACGAAGGAGATGCAAGAGTCACAACAAACATTTCAATACCCGGATATTTATAGTATTTTGGCACTTGTGTATAAAGTTAAAATCGTAAATAATATTCAACGTTAAACTGGTACACAATTAAAAACATTTTATTTAGGCCTATCTATGGCCTTCAAAAAGTTAACGACTCTACATGTTTCGACTTTACAACGTTTTTAATTGTGTACCAGTTTAACGTTGAATATTATTTACGATTTTAACTTTATACACAAGTGCCAAAATACTGTA